AATGGAATATTATGCAGCCATCAAAAGGAATGAAATCTTGCCATTTGCAACGACGTGGATGGAACTGGAGGGTATTATGCTGAGCGAAATAAGTCAATCAGAGAAAGACCTGTATCATATGATCTCAGTGGTATGAGGAATTCTTAATCTCAGGAAACAAACTGAGGGTTTCTTGAGTGGTGGTGGGTGGGAGGGATAGGGTGGCTGGGTGATAGACATTGGGGAGAGTATGTGCTATGTTGAGCACTGTGAATTGTGTAAGACTGTTGAATCACAGACCTGTACCTCTGAAACAAATAATATAGTATATGTTAAAAAAAAATAAAAGAAGATAGTAGGAAGGGAAAAATGAAGGGGGAGGATTCAGAGGGGGAGATGAACCATGAGAGACTATGGACTCTGAGAAACAAACTGAGGGTTCTAGAGGGGAGGGGGGTGGGGGGTAGGTTAGCCCAGTGATGGGTATTAAGGAAGGCATGTATTGCACGGAGCACTGGGGTGTTACATGCAAACAATGAATCATGGAACACTACATCAAAAACTAATGATGTAATGTATGGTGATGAACATAACATAATAAAAAAAAAATGCTTTGACAGAGGGAAAAGAAAAAAAAAGATCAACACTGCCTATACACGGATTGAAGAAGAGTTAATATTCCAAATAGAGATTTGAAGAACTTAATGTCTTTATGATGCTAACTGACATGTCAGGCAAAGGTAATCCCTTTATATGAAGACACTTGTAGTGTAACAACAGGGGAATGATAAAAGCCCTGATCAAATTATTTGAGATAATAACAGCACTTGTAGAAAAACTATTAAATAAAATACCATTCTTCATAATATAATTCCAACTTCCTGGGTTTATTTATTTTTTTAATCCTTTCAATCTCTATGATTTTATTATTTTTACAAATGATATACTAGTTTACATATTTATAACTATTTAAGATAATTTTAATATAAAAATTGGTAAATTATAAAGAATTATATGAATAATCAGAGGGAAGAATTTATTTTTACTTAAAAAGAGCATAAGATATTTACTTGCAAATTAACGAATGAGAGAGGAGGAATCGAAACCTTTTCTTCCTCCTCATTTTGTTGCCTCAAATAGTATTGGTCATTGTTTCTTAGAGAGATTCTATTACTGTAGTTCATGCCCCTATTGATGAGGAGCCCATTCCAACCCCTACACTTTCTAGGAGCAGAAACATGGGGGGTTTGATGGGAGTGTGGGAGGCCGGTGTGTGTGTCTGGGTATAAAATCAGTTACAAATCAAAGAGATCTCTGAATCAATGAAATGAATAAATATAGCCCTGTTGGGCCAGTAGGGGCAGTTGTGGAACAAATAGATTATTTTCCCCATAAAATTTTCAGATTAGGTTGGAACTGTATTTTCTGTAAAATTTTATGTTTTTAGAGATTGAAAACTGAGCGTCTTTTCGCATTGTCATTAATAATTACACTTACCGATTATCACCATTTAATTTTTGTTTTTGGCATCTCTGGCACCTCACACTGTACCTGACACAAAGTAGACATTTAGTATTTTAAAAACTGAACTAGATCACCCATATCATTATGGTTGCTGAGATGTATGGATTCTTTCAAATCTGGCCCCTCCTCTCTGTCTTGAAGCTTTTGCTCCTATTAAGGCCTTCATCATCTCTCCCTTCCTCAAAACAGTCACCCCTGACCTCCTTGCCTCTCTCTAGACACTGCTTTATCCTTTTTTTCCATCTCAGAAAAGCTTTTAAAATGAGCAATCTATATCCACTTTATCTGCTTCTTTTTAAAAAAACTTCATTCTTTCACATTTATTTTTAATTACATGAGATATATATATTCTCCCCTCCTCAGAGGAAACTATTATTTTCAGTTTGTTGATTATTCATGCAGACCTCTTCTACACACTTATATACATTAATAAGAAGAGAGGGAAATTTTACTGGGTAGGGGCAGATGTACACAATTGGTGTCATGATCTATGGATTATTCTTGCAATTTCATTTTGTTGCTTAACAACATGTCCATGTGATCTACCTCATTCTTTTAAACTGCCAAGTACAATTCCATGGTACATTTGTACCATAGCTCATTTTTTTGCTCTCTAGATAGAAATTTAGACTGTTTAAAAAAATTTTTTATTCCATAACCAATGCTGCAGTGAACATCTTTGCTGTATTTTTTTCATGAACATGTACAATTGTTTCTCTAGGCTATACACCTAAAAGTGGAACTGATGGATCATAAGGTATTCACATTTAAAATTTTAATGGATAGTCCAAATTTGCCTTGTAAAGATATTTATCAATGTACACTCCCACCAACGTGAATGAACTCACCTGGTGTTAGTAAATATTGTACCATCTTTTATTTTTTTCAGTCTGATAAATAAAAAATATTTCCTTGTTTCATTTTACATTTCCCTGGTCACTTGGTAAAGTTGCTCGATGTTTGGAAGGAAGGTACTAGTTTATCTTTGTTTTCTTAATTTCCTCCCCCTTCAACAAAATTTCCTGCCGCAGTCAAAATTTTACTAATTGTTTCTCTCACTCATTGTTTCAGCCAGCCAAGCCAGGGACTTACTGTCAAAGATGCTAGTGATTGACCCAGCAAAAAGGATATCCGTGGATGACGCCTTACAGCATCCTTACATCAATGTGTGGTATGACCCTGCTGAAGTGGAGGCGGTAAGGCATAGGCTTATTTACTTCCCTTCCACAGACAAATCAGAGTAACTGGGTGCTCAGTGGTGAAAACTGCAAGACAATTAGAACCCAAAAGCACACACAAAGGACTTCATACAATTCCTACGTCACAAAGTTATTACCTTCCCCTCTAAGAGTTATTTTCTTCCACCTATATTTTATATGCTTTTCCTTTTTCAGGGTTTTCCATGAGAGATGATGATTTAGTCCAAAAAGCTTTAGCTGTCCATGAAACACATCCATGTGTTTTTGTTAAATTGTTAACATCTCTAGTGTCTCCTTTTTTTACGTTTAATTCCCAGTGTCTCCTGATGCAAACTAAGTAGCAGAAATCATAATAGAGAATAAGTTGCTTTGCGTCTCTTTCCTTGATAAGATGCCTGTCATTAGTCAAGTGTGGGCACTACAAACATTTCGCAGATAGAGCTTTTACCAGGCCCTCGGTGACTTTGGGAAAACTTACACGGATTAGATAAAAATTAGGTAGTCCAATGCAGGGTATTTCAGGTTTATTCTAAATTCACTGCCATAGTAAGATGAGCCTCCATATTGTAAATCTAGGCAGAGTTTAGGAATCTTCCCAGAAACCTCACTTTTTTTCTTCTCTTTCCAACCATTCAATATCTTCTCTCCAATCTCTTTCTTATGTCTTTGCCTTTCTCCTTTTCTGTGTAGAGCCAAGGCAAAGGGTTATTGTTGTTGCCCTTGTGTGTTCTATAGGGCTCCTGATGGGAATGTCCTTTTGTCCCTCTTTTAAATGTTACCATCAGCAGTGTTATCTTCTCCCCAAAGCATCAAAATCTCCTCAAATTCTTAGCATGCCTCTGCTAAATGATTTTTTTTAACATAAATAACTTCAAATTACTTTGGTTGAATTGGTTTTTAACATTCTATTTGAAATACTCTCTTCACTTGTTTTCTTGTATCTTTCTCTGTACCCCAAAGTATTCTTGTTTGAGCATAGTTTTGCTTTGTTTTGGTTTCCTTTTGTTTCATTGTGTGCCTGCCCATGTCAAGATGCAAAATTCAAACTGACATAATTCTTATCCTTTCTTCCTTCACTGGAGAAGTAAGAGCTGACAGATGGGAGTGAGGATTAGGGAGAACTTTATAAATATAATATTCAAAAAATTACTTTCCATAGTAGCCCAGTCCTTACACATTCAAAAATTTTGGAGAAAACACTTCAGTGATAAATGAGTCTCTCAAGTGTGGAAACTGGGGTGTAGTAGTCCTTGGTGACATTTTATTAAGATCTGCTCTCTTAAGCAGTTTTACAATGATGTTGAAATTTCACTTTGCTTATAATTTTTAGTCACTTGATTCGATTCTTACAAAATAAAATCCTAATATTTTTATGGGTAAAAGATAGAATCATCTTTAGTCTCTCACTCTTGGGAAATAATTTCAAAGATGTTCTTGGGGTGGAATGAGGTAGTGAAATGTAAGAGAAAGTATGATGTATATGTATGTGAAAGGTAAGTATAAACATTTTTTTTGGATGATTTTCAAGAAAATAGGTTATGTTGATAAAAATTTTAGACAAACAAATTATTTGAAATTGTTGCTTCTCATTTATTTTGATCATTCAAATCATGCGGTGTATTTATTTTTTCTTACATCTAATGTAATGTGTGTAATTTGTTTTTAATGGATGGTGGCCCAGAGTTTAATTAGAGTCATAAAGTCTGCATTTGTAATTCATTTGTGATTATGTTGCCTATAAAAGAGACAGTTGTTTAGAATCTATAACAACATACTAATGAATAGCATCAGCGAGTTTTTAAATATAACATTTTATAAAAAATTTCTTTGAAGGATAAGAAGATAAGATTTAGGTGCTAAAATGGCTAGAATCTTTTTCCCCCTCATTTCAATATTGTCATCCTGGGGAATGGATAGTAACAACATAAGATGTGAATTGTAGGGGAAGGATTTGATAGAGCCCAAAGGTTTAGGAAAAGGGATCTGTTAATGCACAGAAGAACAAGCAGTTATTTAACATTTAGACCGGGATCATTGGTTATACAAGGGTAAACATGTTTTGCATCTAGACATGTTGTAGTGAATAGGTCAGAATCCTGACTCCAGGGCAAGGATAATTCATTACTCTATAAAATGTATTATACAAGTCACAACTAGGAAGAGACAGATCCTAAAGATGGTAGAAGCAGTGGTCAACTATGCCTTCTGCAATACGCTTAGAAATAGTGCCTTTGTTATTGCATGTGAACATATATTTAAAGTAAAATGACCTTTCTTTATGAATGCATGGCAAAGCTATAATTTCAAAGATCTATTTTCTGCCAAGACTGCCAAGACTATTTTGCAAAATGAACTCTGGCGTGTTCTATAATCTAAACAAATGGAAGTATCAAATAATCAGAATTTCCATGATTAGAAGTCATCCAGGATATCCAGGCTCAAGCAGCCTTCAAGCAACTCACAAGATGTTATAGAGGGAAGGAAATTCAAAGATGAGAGGAAAGAAAAATATGTTTCATCGAAAGAAAATAGAGGCAAGTGGAGAAGGGTAAAGGAGAAACTGCAAGAGAATGTGATGTCTTCAGGAAAAGTCGGAAGGAGAGGAGAGAAATGCTATGTGTACTAATCTATTCATCATACTACAAGCTGTCTTATCACCTGTTTCCCAGAGTGACAAAGTACTAAAATGAAAAGAGAAGAGCTTATGAATGCTGTCATAACTCTAAAAGGGAAAATTATTCATGCAATCATGAAGTTGAGAAATTTAAAAATTGAATGTCAAGGTTAATGATGATCTGTGTAATAGCGCATAAAGGGTTTTAAAGTTACAACTGCTCAAATTATTAGCTACTTCTTATTCAAATAATGTTCAGAGTAACAAAAGAATGGGCCCCAAACAGAGTGCAAAGGCCACATTTAGTGTCAGTGCTTTTTCATGAAATAGTTGGAAGGCATTCTAACTCTGGTTCAGTATTCATCAAGAGGGCAAAAACATTATATACAAATGCAATTTATTCAGTTGAATGCATCTTCACAGGTATGAAAAATGGGGTGGGTTTAAGTTTCTGCTCTCCCACTTACTAGGTGGCCTTGGTCAAGATTTTTAACCTTTCTGCAACTCAGTTTTCTTAACTAAGAATAGGGAACATGCATACTTACTGCATAGTGTACCTCTGAGAATATAAAGAGTTAATGTACATGAAGTGCTCAGTACAGTACTTCAGCCAGTAAGGATCATATAGGTTCTTCTTCTTCTTCTTCTTCTTCTTCTTCTTCTTCTTCTTCTTCTTCCTCTTCCTCTTCCTCTTCCTCCTTCTTTTTCTTCTTCTTCTTCCTCTTGCTATTACTATTATGACTTTTACATGCAAAGCTCAACTACCTTTTGATATTTGGAAAGATGCATATATTTAGTAAAAAAGACCAGCTGGCCAAGAAACTGTAGAAGTAGTCTACAACATTAAAAAAAAAAATAATCCCTGGAAATTATGTAGCTCCTACAAGATTTTAAAATGTTGGTCCTTTTCTTGGATGATGCCCACTTCTACCTTGTTAAGTGTAAGAGAATTCAGTGCATTTATTTAAACCAAAATAGAGGCACATTATATAGTTCATAAATCCTCATTGTAATCATCTTTATGAAACTAGAGGATATTCAGGACTGTTTGGGGAATCACTTTAAATATCCTCCCTGTGCTCTGTTAGAGGGAAATACAGAAACAGTGAGGATCAGTTACCTTATTTCTACCAGATTCTTGAGTTTAGAGACCCTGTTAGAGAACAGGGCAGTTTTCACTTTGCAACCTCTGAGAGTAGGGGTATAGAGGCATTTTAGGGGCATTATCATGAACTGCAAACTAAGGAAGAGTTGATTAACTGTTTCAGGGCATATAAAAAGGGAATTTAAGAAGAATATGAAATGTGACCCTTTTTTAAGCACACTTTTGCTTCTCTCAGAAATTCTAGAGCACCCTGAGAAAGGTTTCTCTAGTTGTTCTGCATTGCTAGGGGTGGGAGAGGGAGACAGGAGCAGGGGAGGGGGTGGAGGGAGAGTTGATATGTTCAGCTACCAAACCAAAGACATCAAAACTCAAAGTAATCGCCATAAGGAAGCCACTTAAAAATGTAGGGTGCAGAGAAGGACCTTTGTTTATTTCTTAGTTCATGACAGAAAGGAAGGATCAGGACCTGACACTAGAACCATCATCTAAGATGAGACTGACACTGGGGACCAGGCTCACGACCAGCAGTGCTTATCCAAATCCACTGTTGTGTTGAAGGCTTTGTCTCAGAGAGCCTCAGATACAGTCCTCAGTGATCAAAACATTATTCTAGAAATCTGGACAGAGGGGCAGTTTGAACCAGTCAGGCAATTGGTATCTAAGAATTCTTTTCCCTAGTGGGCAAACCCTGGGGACTTGAGAACCCAGAAAAGTGGCAGCAGGCAACACATGGCCTTCTGTATGGTAGCCAAGTCAAAGTTACAGGAGGGAATGCTGGAACAGAGGTGTGGAACGTGGACTTAGGGTTGAGGAGTAGACTGAGGAGAGAGCCTGGAAATGTTTTGGTTGAGAATATAAATACATATGTCATCCTTATAGAGGCCGAAGAGAAGGTGTGACTAATCCACTTAGTTTGGGTAGAATGTGATTAAGGAAGCAAGGTCGTGCTGAGCTTGTTTATTATTTCTTACCTAATTCAAGATTAATCTGGGAATTGGGACAGGCTGGGTGGGAATTTAATCTGCCTGTACAGATCCTGAGTTAAATAACCTGGTCTTCAGATTCCCAGTGAGCGTATAACCCCGGAAACAGAGTAAAACTTACATGTTTTAGCACTGAAGTTCAATTAAAATAGCCACTTAGAAAATGTAAGCCCAGAAGTCAGTAATGTCACACATTACTGTTTGTAACATAAGGTAATTAATAGAGTCTTAAATGTTATATATTATTATTTACTATGTCATTCCTTTAGGGACTATGTTATTTTTTGCCTCCAGT